AGCTGAGAAAATTTATATATTATTCGAAAAAATAGGCCATGATAAAATCAAATACATTAAATTATATAGTGTGAATTTTATTTCAAAGCTTATTAATGATCAAATTCAAGAGATTATAAATTATTCTTGTCAGAATGTTGATACAGATAATGTAGGACATCAAATTTCGTTTGAAAATACTGAAATTTCAGCCCGTCTCAGAAAAATCTTACCCATACCTAAAGATTCATCATCCACACCAGCTAAGGCAGAGACCAATATTGATTATGATAATGTATATTTTGATGAAGAATTTGATGATGATGTGTATTTTGATGAAGAGGTTGCTTCGTGATCAGATAAGGTAGAGCCAGGCCAAAGAAGTTCTTCAAACCAGGTGCTTTCACATGATGAAAGTAACCATAGTCACAACAATAATTCTGAAGAAGAGATGCCAGATGAATCGGATAACGATAGATATAATGGGTGCAGTGGATATAATGAATATGGTGAATCTGATAGAGGTTATTATTATGATTTAAGTAGGGGAAAAAAACTTATAAAAATTCTGATTATATAATTAGCACATATTAATATGCGATTGTCTAAATATTGGAAGCCTTGTACTGGAACCCCAATAGTAACCATAATAGTATAGATTAACAGTCTCTACTAATTAATAATTGCAAATTGCATTGTAAAAATTACGTAAAAAAATGGTATGACACGAAACCTCTTCTCTTTATTTCATAAAAATTATTGCCGGGACAACAATATACAAATAAAAAAATATTTATTTTTACTATTTTGGATTTTAATGAATACTGCATTATCAAGATCTTTAGGTTTTTTAAAAATTTCAGATAATTTCTCCCCTGGTTTAATATCTCGTATATAAGCGATTCTTTTGACTAGAATTTTAAAGTGTGTTTCAATCTTTGCTTTTGTTTTTTCGTATGTATAGCCCCACTTAACTACTTCACAATATTTACGGGATGAAAATTCAAGCACAGTATCAAATTCATCAGGATGTGTGGCCATTTTTCCTAAATATAAAATTTTAATAAGTTTTGCTTTCATAGTTTTTGCTATAAATGTCACAACCTCATATAAAACATTACCTTAGAACAAAATTTATGTTAAACTTTTTTTCAAAAATATATGAGAGCAAAAAAATAACGTTATTGCTAACTTATCTTATGAGAGAACTTGCTTCTTTTTATACCAACTATTCGTTAGATCTAAAAACTTACCAGAAAAAAAAGTACATGATTTTTAAGTAAATAACAGAATAAAGCAGAATAAAGCAACTCCACTCGGCCATAAGTTCCAAATACTAGGTCTATTTTGTTATTTTTCTGGTAAAATTAACTCCCCTTAGATTCAACAATCGTATTCTGCAAAGTGAAAAAAGTCAACGAACTTGATGATTTAGGAATTCCAAGTCTCCATGACATATGAATTTTGATAAAACTACTGATAAAGAACATTATACTCATTGCCCTTATAGCCTTTTTAGGATGCAAAGAGTTTCTGCTTCGCAGAGTCCCATTCGTGATTTGCTTTTATCGCAGAACCATATATAATAAAGAAAAGGGTCTAGTTATTTGTTAACAGTTAATAAAAAATCAACCGTAAGAAATGATTTTGCAGGAGAGTAACACTGCATAAAATTTAATGCAGGTCATTGATTATTAAAGCCGGTCGAACTAATAATCGTTATTATAAAAATATAAAATATTAAACACAGGGATACGGAATTTATGTGCGGACCCATGGAACTGTTAAGTCATATGATTGTATGATATAATAAATACTTTATTTTCTGGCGAATTTTTTTGATTTATTTCAATTTGATTTAACAGCCGTGAATTTAACTTTCCTCATTTATAGATTCCAGTGGCCCCC